GGGAGGGAAGGGGGGGGTGTCAGAGCTTGCTGGGGGGTCCCGGGCGCTGCTGGAGCCGCCACGCTGCCCGCACCCCCTCGCCCGCCCGGTTGAGCCCGGCGAAGGCGCTGGGGTCAGCGGTGCGGTGGTAGCGGGTGACGGGGGGCTGCAGGACGGTGATGGGGACGCAGAAGTTGAGGTGGGGGTAGGTGGACCCCACGCTGGTGTCCCGGGTGTTGCTGGCCACGATCCCTGGTGGGGGGGAGAGGGGGGACAGGAACGGTGCCCGTGTCACCAGGGACCACCCCGTGTCACCAGGGTCCACCCTGTGTCACCCATGGAACACACAGCCCCCTCCAACCCCAAAACCCCACCATGGAGGGGGGGGGGACCCTCGTCTTACCCAGGAGGCGTCCGCTGCGGGAGGAGATGAGGGGGCCACCGCTGGAGCCCCCGTGGACAGCACAGGTGGTCTGCAGCATGACGGGTCGCCCGGCCACCGCCACCACGGCTGAGAGGACCCCCGCCGTCACCGAGGGGCCACACGCCCGCCCCAGTGGCCCGAAGCCCACCACGGTCACCTCTTCTCCTAGGGTGGGGGGTTAGGAGGAGGTGGGTGCAAGGAGGAAAGGTAGGGGTGACACCCCAGCACTCCGAAGCCCACCACGGTCACCTCTTCTCCTAGGGTGGGGGGGTTAGGAGGAGGTGGGTGCAAGGAGGAGAGGGAGGGGGTGACACCCCAGCACCCCAAAGCCCACCACGGTCACCTCTTCTCCTAGGGTGGGGGGGTTAGGAGGAGGTGGGTGCAAGTAGGAAGGGGAGGGGTGACACCCCAGCACCCCACGTCCCCTCCCAGGCCGCTTACCTGGGAGGAACGTGTCCGCCAGGCAGGCGGGGACGAAGCCTGGCACGGTCTCCTCCAGCTCCACCACCGCCACGTCGAAGGGGGACGACTCCTCGGTGGCAAACACCACGCGCCCCTTGAGGACGGTGGCAGCCCTAAGGAGGGGGCACAGGAGGAGGTGTCACAGGGGAGAGGGGGGTGTGATGGGTGGGGGGCACACACACACCACATGGTGGGGGACACACAGCCCCACTCACCGGCTGGGCGTCACACGGACCGTGTCACCCGCCTCCACCACGTGCCGGCAGGTGAGGAGCAGGCGGGGGGCCAGCAGCACCCCCGAGCCCCACGTGGCCCCACACTCCACAAATGCCACCCAGCCCAGGGGGTCCTGCCCGCTTCCTGCCTCCACGGTGGCCAAACCCCCTGGCACTGGTGGCACCACCACCCCAACCTCCTCCAGGAGGCTAGCGCTGCTCCGCAGGATGGCGGCCAGGGAGCAGAGGAGGGTGAGCCCGACCCACTCAGCGCCCTTCCAGCAGAAAGAAGCGGCGATGACGGCCACCAAACGTAGCCCGGCGGGCGAGGGCAGGAAAGCCCCGCCGCCCTCGGTGCCCGGCAGGCAACGCGCGTCTGTCAAGACCAGGGCGTTCTCCTCGCCCGCCAGGTTGCTCACCACCCCTCTGCTCAGGGTGTTGAGGAAGAGGTCGGGGCAGAGGGCTCCGAAGGGGGACCCGCAGGCCACCAGCCCCTCGCCCTTCCTCAGGAGGCTGGCGCTCGCCCGGGCCGTCCAGCGGCCCCCGGGGGTGTCGAGGCCGGGCACCCGCAGCCAGGCGAACCAGTGCAGGGCCTGCCCTTCCTCCTCCCCCGCCGCCTCCCCGCCGAAGCGCCACCGCTCGCCCGGACCGAAAGCCCGCTCCAGCGCCTGCTGGAAGGGGCGGCAGGGCACCAGGCCCAGCAGCCGGGCCTCCTCCTGCCGCAGGCTGCCATCCCGGCGGTACAGGACGAGGAGGCGCAGGCCGGGTTTGAGGGCCTCGGGCCTCAGGAGGCCGCTCCGCCCCCAGGCAGCGGGTCCGTCCCGCAGGAAAGGGGAGAACACGGCGGCGTGGCAGAGGACGAGGGCGGGCCGGCGGGTGAGGATGAGCCCGCTGCAGCTGCGGGGCTCGG